GGGGCGCCTGCGGATTGGTTACTGATCGATTCATCGACGGCCTTGCTTTGGCAGCAGCTCTATTGGGTGTTGCCTCGGCATCAATATTGTTGGTGTTTGCGGAGAGGGAGCTAACTCCCTATGCTGCGGCCTTCAATCGTTTGGGCTTCGCAACCATTATCTTCCTGGCCTGGAACATTGGCCAGAGCTTCTTGTACCAACTCGGAGACGGGACCGCAACAGCTCCAGCCCGGCCTCTTCGTGCGGCCTTTTGGATGTACTACACACACACCATAGCCTTTCTCTTTCAACACATGACCCCCCCCCCCCCCCCAGAAAAAGGCCCTGAAAATTTCAGAAGCCCCAGGCAAGTGGAGCAGATGTCGCGCTGTTTTTCACTGCCGGCCTTGCCTTCTCCAGCTCTTTGAGCATCTGGGCCTGGTCGCTCGGCTCGGGCCAGAAGTGTAAGGCTTCTAATAAGAGAAACATCCAGAGGGGAACGCACATAAGGCTAGTAAGGGGAGGGGGTGTTTTATGTGCATCTGTTTTCCTGTTTCGTGGAGGTCTTAACAACCTGCGAGCGCCAGGTCCTTGACTCAAACCAGCGTGGCAAATTCCACTCTGCTCCACAACATGATGCCGATCTTTACCACCCTTGGCGCCTGGTCCTCTCGAGCGCATTTGGGAGCACTGTCCGCTTTGATATTCATTGTGATTACGGTTCTTGCCACTTTGCAACCATGACTAGTTCATGACTACCCAGTTGTTAAAAGGCGGACAAAGCCACATAGCGTGTCGGCATCGCTTGTGCGCAGTGAAAGAGGTGCAGACTCGCAAGATGCTTGAGAGAAATGATGCTTTAGGGACAGAACACCCTAAACACAGAACACAAATAAGTAACTCAATGTCGGGAGGGCGCGACAAGAAAGCACATTTTTTTTTCAATCCCCCTATCCCCTCTAACCCGTATTGAACAAGACCGTATTCCTCAAGCACACAAGCCTCCAGGTTGTTCTTCCGGCAAACCTGCAGCCGAAAGTTTTTGCTGGGGATGGCGGTTGCCATGGCAGGCGCGACAGTCATCGGCATGGAGGACTTCCAGGTGAGGCATACTTATATCCTGTATACCCCTTGACCCGGAAATTTACACCTTCACTGCGGAGAAACATGTTTCATACCATATCGCGATCGATTGACAGATAGGTAGGGCCTTCTGCAAGTCTGCAAATATAAGCTAATGAGTAAGTGTATGTATAAGTACGTTCTATGTATAATCGTGTGTGTGTATATATATATATAGACAGGACACATAGTTATGTAGATGTGTTGAGATGATTACATTTTCAGTTCTTTATTCCGTAGAAGGTTTCCAGGGGGCTCCTGCGTCGACTTCCGGAGACCTCCTTCATTCACTTCCTAGAAGATGCAATGCCTTGAGTTTCCGAAGCACAAGCACGCAAAGGAAGAGTGATATGCAATATGGAAACTTGAATATTTGCCAACGCTATTCTTTAAGGTTTCAACTATTCAGGTCTCTGTCTTAGAGGCTGTGGAAGTTGCCGGTCTCAGGTGAACCGTGGCCACCTTGGTGATGTGGCCGCGCTGCTGGCAGCGCTCCTTTCATCTGTGAACATCCTCGTCGTAGCTAGGCATGCTACGAAGATGCTTCAAAGTTGCCGTTATCGAGACTCGGGAACTTACCCCCGTGGAGCTAAGAGGAACTTATGTAGGAGCATCCTGGAAGTTTTTGGGGCCAGCCTAGGTAAAGCAGCTCCGCCATCATTTCGAGGCGCCCACGATCCTCGGCGATGCGACAGGAGCAAGATGTTCTTCTCCAGTCTTCGTCCAACACTCTACCAAACTCTCAAATTAATAATGCCTAAACTCCTAAACCCTGAGCCTTGTGGAGCCACCAGTCGGGAGACCAGAGCTCCCACTGAGGATCATGATGTGCACCTGCGGAATTGGCAGCACCTTCTTGTTCATCCTCCTACAGGTACCTGGGCTTTTGTTTTGTTTTGGGGTGTTTTTTTGCGGGGCTTGTAGGGTTTTCATTAGGGCTTTACGAGGGCATTAGGGTTCTTGTAAGGACCTTGGCTGGTAAATGGCCTGCTTTCGTGATGATGAATCATGTTCCTTAACTACCTCTGAAAACAGCCCTGATCAAGTTACACAAAACCCCAGCGTGTGGTAGTTTAGTGGCAGTTCCTCAACAAGACCCACCCTGAAGCGCGCACCCTAAATCCTTAAATCCTAAACCCTATCCAGGTTCTCGAAGAGCAGGTCTTTCCCAGAACTTCAGTAGCCTGGTGCGCTGTCCTTTGCTTGGCGCTTTTTCGGCAAGCGCTGGGCCAAGGCCTTCTGGCCTACAGCCTCAAGCAGTTTCTGGGCACATGTTAACGAACGAAGTTTAAGGTAGGGTCCTACAGAGTCTTAGGGTTTAATGAGTGTTTCATAAGGCTGCTACAGGGTTTTCAAGAGCTGGGTGAAGCTGCCAGAATAGGGCAGCACGCATGTAGAATACGCCTGTGTACTTAAACATATTATATGTATGGGTGGTTGTCAAAACTACGGTCTCTTTTGGGTTCCCAAACTATAGGGTGCCGGATCGAGAGTAGACTTGTTTACATGGTTTCCCAAAGTGACCATGGTTTGACAAGTACCCATATATGTACACATACATGCACGCACACGCACGCACACACATACACACACACATACATACATGCATGCATGCATGCATGCATGCATGCATGCATGCATGCATGCATGCCTACGTCTGTCTGTCTGTCTGCCTGCCTGGCTGCCTGCCCGCATGCATGCTTGCATGCATGCATTCATGCATGCATGCATGCGTGTATGTATGTATGTATGTATGTATGTATGTATGTATGTTTGTTTGTTTGTTTGTTTGTTTATGTGTGCGTTATACATATAAATATAAAGACAAGTATAAATATAAATATAAAAATAAATATAACTATAACTATAACTATAAACATAAACATAAATATAAATATACATATAAATATGAATATAAATATAAATATAAATAAGTAAGTAAATAACTAAATATGAACAAGTAAATAAATACATATAAATCAACAAATAAGTAAGTAAATAAATAAGTATATATATATGTATACGCGTGTGTGTGTGTGTATGTATATATATATATACACACATATCCATCCATCCACCCATCCACCCGTCCACCCATCCACCCATCCACCGATCCATCTATCCATGCATGCATGCATGTATACATGCATGCACATATACAGATACGTGGTGTTTACATATGTATGTACACATCTATAACTATGCCGCCATTGTGATAAACTCATGAGCATTTTGCTAACAAGAGCCCAGGTTTTCTGCCAGCCTGGTAGCAGTCTCTATGCTAACTGTCCCTGTCATTGCTGCGATTCTCGCTCGATTTCTCTTTGCCGAGCAGCTGACGCTACTGAACTGGGCGGCATTTGGCGTCGTGCTGCTGGGTATCTACCTCGCAGTCTCAGATTCCTGAATTTTCTCGCCGCCTCGTTGCGAGAACAAAGCTGAAAAAGCCGTGATCTGCTGCTTTGGTCGTGATGGTCTTTAGGCACGGGCAGCATCAGATTTCTGACGGGCTTTAGCGCTTGGGTTACCTAGCTGTTGTATTCTCATGCGAATGCTTGCACCATCCAGGTTGCCCCTGTTCATGAAAGACTGTGCCGCGACTGCGTAGTCGGAGGGATGCAGAGCCGTCGCCAAGATACTTTTTGTGGTTCATTACTTCGCAGAAGAACCGCTATCTGGCTCATGCTGAGTCTGAGTAGCAGAAGACTGGGCTTCACTGATGCATAATCCTGATCTTCACTGGCTTAGACCGATATTGAGATTCCAAGGCGGTGTGAGAACCTGCCTCTGCGCTGAGGTTGCCGAGTTTCCGGATGCGGCTATCGCGTATATGGGCGAGATTCAGCGGCGATTATGTCCACGATGCTGCATAGCAACAATGAGAGCATAACGTAGTGATTCTAAAAGGCGCCGCTGCAGCATTTGCAACGAGCATGGCGTTAGCAAGTACAAACACATCACTAACATCAATGCCGCCACCACAACCGCCTCTCCCGCTCACCACCGCCACCACAGCCCATTACCACGGCCACGGCCACGGCCACCTCGGTGGGCACCATCCAAAAAACAACTGTAGCTGCAAGAACGACAACAACTGCTGACTGCTGCCCCTCCTTCTGCTTCTCCCCCTCCTCCTCCTCACCCCACTGCTGCTGCTCCTGCTACTGCTGACCCTGCTACTGCTACTGCTGCTGATAATGTTACGGCTACTGCTGCAGCAGCGCAGCTGCTGCTGCTACTCCTGCTGCTCTGACTACTCCGGCTACGACGACGACGACAACGACGACGACTACTACTACCACTACTACTGCCGCTACTCCTGCGTACTACTCCTACGTACTACTCCTACGTCCTACTCCTACTACTACTACTACTACTACTCCTACGTACTACTACTACTACTACTACTACTACTGCTACTACTACTACTACTACTACTACTACTGCTACTCCTTCTTCTCCTGCTACTACTACTACTACTACTACTACTACTGCTACTACTACTACTACTACTACTGCTGTTGATGACATAAATCTGCATTGCCTCAAGGTAGTTGTGATTTTGATACGGTCGGTTCCGGGTTAACTTACCGATGATCGCCATACTCGCGGTGGTGGTTCTGGTGCTGGTCGGAATCTTTAGTGATGATGGAAATCGGTAACATCTGGCATGTTTACATGTTGCGACTGTTCTGACTTCGACTAGTAAGAGTAGTGCCTTTCTTTCATTTGATTCCTATGCGCTGGGAAGACAAATCCTCTTTAGCTGCAAAAGGCTGTCGTTATCGTTTACACGATGACTACGACCACGCTCGGCAGGGCATTCGGCTACTTTCGGGGGGCCAGGATGGGCTTACAATCCTGTTCTGACTCGGCTTTCCCTGACCTGCCATTCCGTGCCGTGGAGCCTGCAGTGTCTTCATGTAGGTATCCTTGAATGTTTGCTTCTTGCCGTTCAATCACTGACGTGTTGGGTCTGGCAGTCGTGGATAATTAGAAGTCGGAGAACTGGACAGAGCCCTAGGCCCTAAATTGGGCGGTGGACCGTTTTGGTCATCGACAGCTCGCCAAGGATTTCAATGCCCTAGAGGATTGGAAATCCACCCAGCGACTTGGTTTGAGGTGCATTGGTTCTTCGAGAAAATGGGGGGTTTGAGAGGCCTGAGGGTGTTTTTGTGGCAGGGCGGGGGCAGACTGGGGCCTGAAGAATTTGTATTCAGTGCCCCATACATTTGGCAAGCATACCCGGCCTACCCCCAGAGTTTAGGTTCATCGTTTCCGGAGGTGAGCCTTTAGAAGCCTCAAAGTCAAAAAAGACGTCTCGGACAGAAACAGCAACAGCCAATTGTTGTAGATGTCGTAGACGGCTACTTCTTGCACTGCAGCAGCAGCAGCAGCAGC